TGGTGAGACAGGATAAAGAAATCCTCCTCATCTAACACCACCACTGACTGGGCCCTGTGTGGCTGGTGAAATGCAAATGCCTGGTGGCAGCACAAGATACTGACCCAAAGTTCCAAATGACACCATGAGTCCACTACCAGCGACTCTTAATAGTCAAAGAGAATTTCCTTACGGTAAAGATTTCACRCACAAAAAGATGGCACTAGGGGTATTATATTAGTTTTTAACAATAGGTGACAACTTGCCGTAACATAGTAGCTTAAAGTAACATGTATTTGTTATCTCACAATTTCTGTCCATCAGAAGTCTGGGCATGGCTTAGCTGGATTCTCTTCTAGGGATCTCAGAAGGCTAAAAACCCATATTGGCCAGGCTCCATTACCATCTGAAGGCTTGACTAGGGAAGGATCTGTTCCTAAGTTTCTTTGAGTTGTTAGAAAATTTCATTTCCTTGCACAAGCTGTATTTGCTTCTTTCAAACCAACAGTGGAGAAATGGATCCAGTCTCTTCAGAGAAGGACTAGTTCTTTTCTGAAGGCCTCACCTGTAGAAAGTCAGGCCTGTCTAGAATAATGTCCCTTTCTTTAAATGAGAGTCAACTGATTAGGGACCCTAATCACACCTACAAAGTCCTTTCACCYTTGCAACGAAATGCAACATGATCATGGGTAGCCCAGCACCACTGCCACATTCTGTTGTGAACGCAAGAGAAGGCAGGGTGGATTATGCAGAGTGTAATACCAGGCACTGGAGATCATCAAGGTCATATTAGAATTTTGCCTACCACAGTGAAAGTCCAAGAACCTAAACCTTCATGTTAAATTCAAAGGGAAGTATTGACCCTAAAAAAAAAAAAAGGGTACATTTTTTTTGGGTAGCAGTAATATTGTTTGAATAAACCTCTTTGGGTAACACTGAGAGACATTCACAGGCCTGCTTTGAGAAAATCACATCACCAGATCAATACAAACAAATAGACAAAACAACAATATCAAGAAATCAGCAACCTTATAGTTTATCAATGAAATATAATTCCTGAAAGGTGGTAAATCCATCTGTCAGTCAGAGGTAGTGGCACACAACTGTAATCCCAACAACTCGGGAGGCTGAGGCAGGAGGATCACAAGTTTGAGGCCAGCCTGAACAATTTAGTGAGATCCATCTCAAAATAACATAGAAAAAGGGCTGGAGATGTATCTCAGTGGTAGAATACTTCAACATAGGTGAGGTCCTGGATTCAATCCTCAGAATTGCAAAAAATCAAAAAACTATTCTAGTGATCTTATCTTTCTCCTCCCCTCTGCTCCCCCCCCCCCCATGGCCATGGTACTGGGGATTAAATCCAGGGCCTGTCCTATGCTGAAGCATTCTACGCAGAGCTATCTCCCCAGTCCTTTTTCTATTTTGTTCTGCTACGTGATCTCACTATGTTTCCCATGCTGGCCTGGAACTTTTAATTCTCTTGCCTCAATCTCCCTAATACTAGTAGTGTTTATAGATGTGCCATCACACTCCACTTGATCTTATCCTTTAATGTGAAAAATGATCTAATACTGATATAACAACATTTATTTTGATGTTAAAGAATTCAGTACTCTTTGAGAAAAAGAAACATTAATTCTCTATTATAGAACCAGTAGTAGAAATGTATATATGATAAGAGTGAAGAACATACAAAAATATTTTTAATATGAAAAGTAGGTAGCAGTACTAAAATAAGTTGTTTTGGTGTGTGTGTGTGTTGGGGGCCACTGGGGATTGAACTCAGGAGCACCCTACCACTTAGCCACATCCTAAGCCCTTTTTATTTTATTTTGAGACAGGGTCTCACTAAGTTGCTGAGGCTGGCCTTGAACTTGTGATGCTTGTGCCTCAGACTCCTGAGAGGCCTACTGCACCACACCCACAGATTTAACAATTCCCATATGAGTTCCAAATATAGCCATTTGGCATTCTTATAAGTACTAAGTACAATGTCACTATAGGCCTGTGTACTTGTAGCACCTGGAGCTACCTGGAATAGTTTTTAAAAAATGACTTATTGGAGTTATACTGATTATAAAGCTCTATTTATCTACCTATCTAGCTATTATACTGATTTAGAGAAATTTCTGATTTATCACTAAACACCAACTCCTCCCAGRACTAATAACATAAATGATCTATGRCCACTCTAATATATAACTGCAATTTGTGTAGCTAAATGCAGTTCCTACTTCCACCCAGGAGGCCAACTTGGGAGAATCACAGATGAAATATTCTGGGTAAACTTAGCAGTGAGGTAAAATAATATAACATATCCGAGTCACAAGTATGACAAATGAATATTTTTKAATACTGGGAGACTAAGATTATCTCACAGAGAAAACTCCACAACACTTGAACAAATAACTTTCCCATGTGGCAAAATATAGCATGCAGAGGCTAAAATTATATTTCTGCCATTTTATCACACATTTTTACTGCATATAGTGACTTTGGGGGCACTGTTGGGACTGTATTTTCATTTGAATTGGTGTAAACAATACATGAGTTCTACTGTCCCACAGCTTCCATTCAGATGACTAAAGTCATGGGACTTTCAGCATAGCTAGCTGATGACAGTGGATCCTACTTTGTCCCAAAATTCAGTTCAAGCATGGCCATGCGAATTAGATTCTAAGCTCTTTACAGGCAAAAAACAGGAATTGTACAGTTCTTGGTATATAATAGGACATCAAAAAGTATTTTTGAACTAATGTTTAAGGTGGAATATTAGAATTCACTCAATTCACAGGGCTGTAGGATTCTGAGATCTCTCAACTTTCAGATTCTATTCAACCCAATAAACAAATGTGTCTTTGCTAAATGCAGGAAATGTGCTAGTTGCTAAGGACACCCAACTGATAAGTCAGTCCTTGCTGTCAAGAGACTCACATGAGCCTGCTGTAGTGTTACATGCCTATAATCCCAGTGACTTTGGAGGCTGAGAGGTGGATCATAAGTTTGAGGCCAGCCTGGGCAACTTAGTGAGAAACTATCTCAAAAAATTCAGGGCTAGGGACTAGGGATGTACTCAGGGGTAAAGTTCCCCTGGGTTCAATCCCAGTACCACCCAATAAATTAATCAATTAATCATAATTTTAAAAAATAAAGTATGATCAGTTAAAAGGGCTAGGGTATAACTCTGTAGTAGAGTGCCCCTGGGTCCAACTCCCAGTACTGGGGGAAAAAAAAAAAAAAAGCAAGAAAAGAAAAGAAACTCACTCATGTCATCTTGCAGTCATACTTCCTTCTAAAGAACCTCTAAGAAATGGGTAGTGGATAGACCCTTGGAGTTCCATAGAACACATTTCAATAATCTCCAGATGTTGACTCAGGCCAGATTGTGTAATTCAGGTTTTGTCTGCAAAACTGAAAATGTTTCAATACCTACCTAAATTTCCATGTTGAAGATTTTTTTGTTGTTTTGTTTTTTGTTTTGCAATGCTGACAATTGAACCCAGGAACTCAACAGATGCTAGGAAAACATTCCATCACTAAACTATGTCCCAATGTTGAGGAGCTCTTTAACAAAGACATCTCATATAAGGATTTAAAGCATGGATACAAAATACACAGCACCCATGGGTGAATCAAGCACTGATGATGACCATTCCTTTACTTAAATATTGCTCCTTTTTAGAAATTGTGCAAAGTGGCAGCTAAAATAAGTGAACCAGAAAACCAATCTATTACTTTTCATTTATACTAAATAAAATCAAAGGAGCTGGAGAATATTTTGTCTAGAATGATAAAAACATAGGGTCACAAAATTCCCATGTACCTTTGCAAAATTTACTCTGTGACCTGTAACAGTGCAGAGACCCTTATAATGTAAGCACTGTTTTGAATGCAAGCATATCAGAGGCATTCTCACCACTTGAGTGACTCCAGTAGGTTTATGAAATGTTTTTTGCATGTATTGCATAAAGTCATAAAACAAAGGAAGGGAGTTTTGAACTATTCAGTGAAATCTGTACATTAAAGTTTGTTTTTAAGAAACATGTAACTCCTGCTTGCAGTTATAAAGGTCTGCTTTCCACCTACAGGTTGCCATTATCTCAAAGGTGAAATTTTAGCATATGACTAAAATGTCCTATAGCCACAGCTTCATGATTCAGCATCTGACATCAATAATTCACAGTGAGATCACAGACTCTGTGGAAGATAGTGACATACTCACTTGTCTTATGAAAAAAAGCTCAGGGCATATCTAGAGCATTTTGAATTTAGATTGTGGCTGGTTGTGTGGGTGTCAGATATTTGTCTCTCTGCTGTTGTGCATGCAAAGGACCCTTCTGTGGGAAAGGCACTTTGAGAAAGGTGAAATTAGGTTGTCAGGCTGAGATTCTCACAGGTGGTCATCAGCTCCCCACAGATACACAAGCTAGGTCAGGGATTCCCAGAGCTACACACTGCTGATGGGAAGCCTTTTTGCTTTCTGCAGAAAAGATTCCAACTTGGTTCCCTGCCATCACTAAACACAAACGTGTTGGTTTTTCTTTTTTGAGCTTCCAACCCTTGCAACTTTCCAAAAATAAATCAAACCAGCCATCAGGGCACCGAAATAATACTACTACTAATAAGCAGCTTTGCCTAGACTTATATAAACAAAATTTCTGAGGTAACTAACCTTTGCCCAGGAGGTCTGGACATACTTTTTTTTTTTTTAATGTAACCTGCTTACTAATAATTACTAGACTTGGGTGCATTAACCCTGGGAATAGATTTTAATAACAACCTCTTAAAACAAAAGATATGAAACAATAATTTTTAAATGTGCACCAACTAGAAAAACAATCGGCAGGCTGCTACAGCCKAAACTGAAATCACCTCCCGCCACCGCAACGTCCCTCACTCCAGATGGCCCCCCACCAACCGGATAAGAGAACCAGCTCCGGACCCCGCCTTCCCGGTTTCTGCACCGCCCGCGTCCCCTCGGATCGCCTCCCTCTTAGCTCCGCCTTTTTCCGCTCCTCTCAGCTGGGCTCCAAGAACAGGGGTCAAATTGCCGAAGCAGTCTAATTTGCATGGACCAATGACCGCACCGTATGCAAATGAGACTGGACGTGGTTGGCTGAGGATTGGCAGGATAACTCCGGCGAGCCAGGGCCTTTGTCCTCCAGTGGCTGTGAGGCAGCTGCGGTAGTGGCGTCGTGGTACACTTCTAGGCTAGGGCCCGCAAGCGACGGGGCGAGCCAGCAAGCGGGGCGGGAAGGGAGCACGGCGCGGCAGCGGCTGGCGCTGCTGGARGAGCCCGGGAGGGCGAGGGGCGGTCGGACTGCGTCGGATCGGAGCGCGCCACAGGAAGCCTGAGAGCGAGTGCAGAGAGCTGGCGCCCGCGCGCCCACGGTGGCCGGAGCAGCCCGCACGCCGCGCTCTCTGTGAGGGACTTGCAGTTGCAATATGACTTTGGAAGAATTCTCGGCTGGAGAGCAAAAGACCGAAAGGTAAGTCCGCCTGCTGACTTCTCCGGCCCTAGTCCTCTCGCCCTCCCCGCGCGCTTCAGGGCAGCTGGGCTGTGGGAGATTTGCAGGGGAGCAAGCGGAAAAGTTTGTCTAGGGCACCTCCTGCCCTCGCTCCCTCGGGGATCCTCGAGGGTCACCCGTCAACGGAAAGCACCCCGCCAGGGCCTTGCGAAGTCAGAAGCGGCTTCCGCGGCAGACAGGCTGTGGTCATGACCCCCGGGGAGGGTGACGGGGCACTCTCGGGGATTCTCACGGGACACCCGGCCTCCGGGCGTGAGAGGGGTCATGAGGGGTGATGCGGCCGGGGCAATCCGGGTTTGCAGAAAGCCCGAATGCCCTGGCCCTCAGAAGAGAGGGTCTTGGTGCAGGGGGAGAGGTCGGCAATGGCCCGAGGGCTCACAAGTCCCCTTACTTTTGCTCACCCATAGGATGGACAAGGTGGGCGATGCCCTGGAGGAAGTGCTCAGCAAAGCCCTGAGTCAGCGTACCATCACAGTCGGGGTGTACGAGGCGGCGAAGCTGCTCAACGTGTAAGTGGAGGCGAGCCTTAGCTATCCCCTCGTGGGACCCCCTTCCCACCCCATCCCGCGGAGGTCGCCTCCRGGACTCCCCTCACCGTGCAGCACCCCTCTGTGTTTTGCATCTGCTGCGCCGCTGCCTGCCCCGGGCTGGTAGCCCCAGGCCGGAGGTGATCCCTGGATCCAGCGGGGGTTGCAGGTGCCCATGCGGGTCGGGGGAACCTCAGCATTTACCCGCTTTGCCCATTGCCTGCAGCGACCCGGATAATGTGGTTCTGTGCCTGCTGGCGGCAGACGAGGACGACGACAGGGATGTGGCTCTGCAGATCCACTTCACTCTGATCCAGGCGTTCTGCTGTGAGAACGACATTAACATCCTGCGCGTCAGCAACCCGGGCCGGCTGGCAGAGCTCCTGCTGCTGGAGACCGACGGGAGCCCAGCTGCAAGCGAGGGCGCAGCGCAGCCCCCGGACCTGCACTGCGTGCTGGTTACGGTAAGGAAGTAGGAGACTGCGACCAAGTTGGGGCTAGAACCCTGAAAGGAAGCGAGCTCSGGCTGAGTGATAGGCTGCAGACCTGTATGGGTGGGGGTTAAGAGCGTGGCTGCCTTTGCCCCACTAAAGTGTGTTGGACTTTCAGCCGAGAGGTACTAGTTTCATCATCAGGATTTTCTCGGGTACAGAACAAGTCTAAGCACGTTGGCTGGTGCCAACAGCGGAAGAGATCCCTGTGAGTCAGCAGTCAGCCGGGCTACTCCCTACCTACATCTGCACTACCTCGCGTGACTAATTCCTTTAGCAGGGCAGATTAGATAAAGCCAAATAAATTCCTGGCTCACCCCTCATTAAGAAGTCAGCTTCGTTCTCTGCCAGTCAAAGCTAAAAATAGAAATGGTGTAGGAGACTGACCTTATTAATTCCCTAGAAATACATTAAGAGGCTCAAGTGGAATTTTTTTTTTTCTTTGCAATCTTGCAATTTTTAAATGCAGTCCCACCTCCCCACTCTCATAAAGCCTTTGGAGGGTAGACAAGATGATTTTAGAAGTAATTGTGCTGGCTTGACTGTCTTCTGAGTTTTTCTCCTTTTTGACTGGTCTAGGGAAGTGCAGCCTCAGTTATTTTGCTACTTCTGAAAAGTACTACTCATTATCTTTTGGAAGATAACAGGTGGCAATTCCAGTTAGCTGGTGTGCAGCTCTCATCTCATTGTACACACAGCATGGAAATACTTTYCAAAATGGTTACACTGAAGGCTCAGCCAGGGTACAAGTATGGGAAGGCAACCCTGTGAATGATCCTCTCATGCAAAACTGAATAGATATGCAAACATATTTGTGGCTCATTATGAGTTTCATGTGTTTAGACTTTGCAGAGTATAGTTTGATAGATAATATTTTTAGGAAACCCAACTACTTAGAAGAATTTATATTGTTTGTGCATATAACTTGTCTCCATGTCATGTAGCCAAAATATAGAATGTTCAGGTATCTTCCTTTCACCAGTAGTGTAATTATTAGCAAATGCTGATAATTTTTATGGGAAATTAATTTTTCTAAATTTGTTCCTAGAATCCACATTCATCACAATGGAAGGATCCTGCCTTAAGTCAACTTATTTGTTTCTGCCGAGAAAGTCGCTACATGGATCAGTGGGTTCCAGTGATTAATCTCCCTGAACGGTGATGGCATCTGAATGAAAATAACTAAACCAAATTGCACTGAAGTTTTGAAATACCTTTGTAGTTACTCAAGCAGTTACTCCCTACACTGATGCAAGGATTACAGAAACTGATGTCAAGGGGCTGAGTGAGTTCAACTACATGTTCTGGGGGCCCAGAGATAGATGACTTTGCAGATGGAAAGAGGTGAAAATGAAGAAACAAGCTGTGTTGAAACAAATAAAAGTCAAAAGGAACAAAAATTACAGAGAACCACGTGGGAAGGAAAACTATGTATTAATTTAGGATGGTTGAGTTACATTAAAATAAACCAAATATGCTTTGTTAAAGTTTAAATGTGCAGCAGTAGTTTGGGTATTTTGGTTTATATTCCCTCCCTCAAGTTAAAAAAAAAAATGAAAGGGTTAATCATATTTTAAAACCATATTTTATTGTATTTTGATGAGATGTTAAATTCTCAAAAGTTTTATTATAATTGTACTAAGTTATTTTATGACATGAAAGGTTATTTATGCTATAAATTTTTTGAAACAATACCTACAATAAACTGATGTGGAATAATTGCATCATTTCTCAGTGCGTTCTTCTGTCTTTTGTTAGCTTGGACTTTATTAACAGATATTTGCTGATGCCTTGCTCTACACTAGGTCAGGAAAACATGTAATTTAAGAAGAATTGGGGTTGGGGTTAGAAAAAAGAAATGGTTACATATTCAGCTTGCCGGCTGAGATGCAGCTCAGTGGTAGACCACTTGCTTAGCATGCACCAGACCTTGGGTTCAATCCTCAGCACTGCAAACCAAAAACCCGTGGTGAGATTCAACTTGCAGAATCTGAAAAATTATAGCTTATTAATGTTAGTGCTAAATTGTGTACAAAATGTGGAAGCAGAGAGGAATTACCCAAAGCTACCTGCAAGATGAGTGAAGTTTTTATTGAGGAGAATCATTTTTATTTGGGTCTTAAAAAGTTTCATTTCTCTTAAGTAGGAGAAAGGGATATTACTAGCAGCCGCATTAGTTTATGCAAAGGTGTGGAGGCTTAAAACATCACAACCTGTTCCAGGGAACATAAAGTGACTCTGTGTACCTCTGGTATAGACAGATAAGGGAGAGATAGTTGAAAAGGTAGGTGGAGATTAGGCCCAGACTGAAGGCATTCTACGTCACCCGTTTGCATATAGCCTTCTGTAAATGAGCAGCCTGCAGACAGCTTCATGAACTAAGTGGCACAGTCAGATAACATTGGACTGTGAGAGACCGCTACTGGGTTGAATGGCTGGAGGTAAAAGGGCTGATTAGGAAGTGACTACCAGTCCAAGGCTGTGCACTTAGCAGAACCTTATTTAGGGAATGAAGTGGCCTGGTAGCATGGCAGTGCCCTTAGCCTATTCCTAGGGTTTTGTACCCTCCAGCTGAATATTCACAACAGTTTTTAAGGGGACTGGTTAAATTATGTCAATTGGGAAAGATGGCAGAGAGGAAAGAAGTGAAAGAAATGAAAGCTTTCAGCAGAACAATCATCTTTTAGTTGGCACAGTCACTTGATAATTAACTGCAACAATCTCCTATAGACAGAGCCAAAGAGAGCAAAAATGCTTACTGAGGCAAGGCCTAGCATAACTTCAGTCCTCAGGGTTTTTCTATGTTTACTTCTCAAACCATACCCTCCCAAGCTCCCCTCCATCAGTCTCCCATCATTATCATGACTCTGTGTGATCAGGAAAAACAGTAGAGAAAAACCAATAGCAACAATAACAAAGAAAAAAAACACTCTTAAGTTCCTGCATATCTTAGAACAGGTTCATAAAGAGCCTTTCACCTTTCACCTGCAGAACATAGGTGTTTCTGCTWTTTTTCTGTCTGCTAGAATTCCAATGGGCTTGTTCAGCCAAAGCAAAATCCAAACCATAATTGGAATTTAATCTTTTCATATTACAAGAAAATTGAGAGCAGTGAGTTTGAAACAGCATTTTTTTTTTTTTTTGCATTTCCATCAGAGTAAGTATTTTCAATCTTTTTTTCACTACTATGTGTGATTAAAAACCCTTCTGCAAAGATGAGTGAATTAAACTCGGTAGGCAGAGTAGAGAAAAGCAACTTTGGTGGAAGGAGCCTGGATAGCAGGCAACCTGGGTTGGTCCTTCTCCATTCTGTTCTTTGTAAAATAGAGATAAAAATGACCTGTCTTGCAGGTCATTTACTATAACTCKAGGGCAGGAACTAATATTTGGTTCGTGGTTGTAGGCCAGTGGTTAACACACATGCATGGCAGCAATAGGTGCTGAATGATATTTGTTAAATAAATGACTAGAACTGAGTGCAGGGCTGGGGATATGTGGCTCAGTGGTAGAGCATATGGTTAGCAAGAGTGAGCCCTGTGTTCAATTCCTAGCGCCACAAAAAGAAAAATGAGAAAGAATAAGAATGAGTGCTAACTACTGGCATATAATAGTTGGTCAATAGAAGGTGTCATATTAAAACCCAGATGATAGTAATAGGAAAACATTTAAGACTTCAGAGACATTTGTCTGTTGCTTATAATGTACACACATATATTATTATTAAAAAGAAGTCTTGAATCTTCATCCTAAATTCTATGGCTTAGGGATATGAAATAATAGCACACATTCCTCAGATTGCCTTGTTTGTAGATAATCTCAACAATTTACSCAATGCTACTATTTTGAGTTTTGTTTCATTGTTATTCTTTCCTGAACATAATAAAAAGTTAACATAGCATTGAAAAATCCAATCATGAAARAGTTAGTTATACATAAGTACACAATTGCTTGGACAGCATCTGCCTCTAATTAATGCCAATATTTATTCTTCAGTTGTTGCTTGAAAAATCCTTAAACTTATTTACCTTAAGCCAGGTGGAAATGTTACAAGAACAAAAATCCCCTCATCYACCTAAGGTGTCTTGTATGTTGAAAAGTGGAAAATACCTGTTCCCCCGCCCCACTGGCAATTTAACCTCAGTGTCATAGATAGCATTCCCTCCTCCTTTCCACAATTAACTAAGGGCCCCAGTAAGTCAAACTTCTATAAGAAAGGGCCTATGAAAGTAGCTAATCTCCTGTTATCTACTATTCCCAAATAAAGAAAAAAAAAGATTATTTGTAGGAAGCAGCTATTAGTATGCTATCAATTAGAAGCTTTTTTTTTTTTAAATGAATCTTTTTTGTAGATGGACACAACACAATGCCTTTATTTTTATGTGGTGCTGAGAATCGAACTTGGGTTGCGCCCATGCTAGGGGAGCGCTCTACCACTGAGCCACAATCCCAGCCCAATTAGAAGCTTTTTCAAAGCATATTTTGAGTTAGCTTACTATAATCCTTATGAAATAATTATCTCCTTTACTTTCAATTATAAGTGTTAAATTTTTCTTTCAAATGAATAGAACCCAATGGCATGATTTAACTCATGCAATGTCTCTAAGTTGAGAGATAAATTCCTTTTAAAAAAAATCCTTATTAAACATCAGAACTTCTGTGAAAATGTTGTATTCATAGAAACCACCAAGAAAGAGTGAGCGTTCACTATGGGCAAGGGACTAAGCTGTAAGTTGAAGTCTAGGAAAAAATCAGGTATATGCTGACTTCAGGGAACTCACAGTCTAGAGAAACAAGGTGTTAAGTATATTGACACACACAATATACTAAAGCAGAATATGCCCCCCCCCCAAAAAAAAAGGAGACCAAGAGAATCTTTAGGGAAGTTCAAAGGGTAGAAATCTCCAGGGTATAGAGGGATGGAAGGGAGCAAAAGTTATAAGTTTTATGCATTGAAAATTGCACAAAAATACTTGATTGTTTGAATATGATTTTGCTATGTGCTATAGAGATTATTACTAAGATCCAGCCTATGGGAGCACTTGCCCTTAAGTTTATAATCTATAGGATAATCAGGATAAGCACATTYGTTCCTTTAATGCTCTTTACTAAATGCCTATCATGTACTTGGAGCTGTGTTAGGTCCCAGGCTATAAAAGATGAAGAAGCAGCTGCCTTCAAGGATGTGCACAATTTAGTAGAGATGCCTGATACCTGTAAAATTGGGTGATGAGTGATAATAGGTGATAAGTGATATACTTAAGACCTAAGTGTTCTTGGGTCAAGGAGTGTTTTCTAGGTCCAGTGAGACATGAAAGGTGAAGAGACTTGCCAGAGGACAGTGAAGGGCATTTACTCACRGAGGAGGAACTGCAGCTCAAGGCATGTTTAAGGCTGGCTTCTGGGGATGAGAACAATAATATAGGTTTATGCTGAGCACTGATCTAAGTACTTTACCTATGGCCACTTACCAGCACTTTCAACAATTCTATGAARTAGATACTATGAATGTCTCCATTTTGAAGGTGAAAAGACTCATATTCAGAGAGAGTAATTTTGCCCAGAGTCATACTGGATAGGAAGTGGCAAAACTAGATGTAGTATTGTCCTTCAATGATGGGTGACAATGTGGGGAAAATGGCAGGAGCCTAACTATGACTTTGCTGCAAGCCAAAGTTTTTTCTAGTAGGCAATACAAAGCAATTAAAAATAACTCATTGGGTTGCAGTATAACGCAGTARTAGAGTATTTGCCTAGTGTGAGCAAAGTCCTAGATTTGGTCCCCAGTACCATGGAGGGGGAAAAAAAAGATTTAGAAATTACTAGTGGTCAATTGGGCATGATGATGCATGCCTACAATCCCAGCAACTCAGGAAGCTGAGGTAGGAGGATTACAAATCTGAGGCCAGCCTCTGCAATTCAGCAAGACCCTCAGAAATTTAGTAAAAGTCCTTTCCCAAAAAGAAAATATTAAAAGGGTTGGGAATATAGCTTGTTGGTAATGTGCCCCTGGGCTCAATCCCCAGTACAAAAAACAAAAAAAACAAAAAAACAAAAAACCTGAGAAAGGATGTTATCACCATAAAAAGAGAGCCGCCAGAAAAAGATGACACTGTGACACACAAAGTCCTAACGGTGTGGAAATGGGTAGCCAAGAAAAATCTGGCTCACTTAATATTTAGCAATTTTTTAAACATAATTCTTTTAAAAATATTTTTTAGTTGTAGTTGGACACAACACCTTTATTTTATTCATTTATTTATTTATTTATATGTGGTGCTGAGGATCAAACCCAGGGCCTCCCACTGAGCCACAGCCCCAGCCCTTAGCAATTTTTTAAAATATCAGATTTAACATTTAAATATGCTTAGCCATGGCTAGAGCTGTGAAGAARCTCCTCCCTTTTAGACTAGGATTTCTTATTTGCCACAGGCCTCAGCCTTCTCTAGAGTCAATTCTAGCTTACTAAACTCAAGTAGTCTTTCCTCCCTAAATTTTTGGGCAACTATGGTCCGCCTTTTGCCTCAATATTTAAAACTCTTGGGCTTGGAGTCCACCTGCGTCAAAAGACGTGCCTTGTACTATCAGAACTTCTCAAACTGCTAATGCAAACAAGGTCCTGGGGTGCTGGCTAAAATACAATTTTTCAAGACCCCTTCCCAGAAGTCTCAGATTAAGTGGGGCCTAGATAAGGTTTAGAATTTCTTTAAGTGCTTCGGGTGAGTCTTGCTATC